TTTAAAAGTCCTTTATTCCTTATATAATACATCAGAAGTCAGTAACCACTTTTGTTCACTTTCCTTACCCCATCAACCAAAGAAAAAAAAAGCTCCAAACAATGAGCTCCGATGACAGAGATCATCGTTGGTTCAACTCCAACCACCACTCCTTCTGGCCCAATCCGTCTTCTTACGATCTCAATAGCAAGATCATGCTCGCCGCAGTGGTTTCTTTGTCAGCAGTTATCCTCATCGTCTTCACTCTTCATCTCTACGCAAGATTGGTTCTTCGCCGACGTAGAGAAGCTTTCCGTGGCCTTCCCGTCGTATTCCGCCACCCTTTTCAGATGCCTAAGCGTGGTCTCGACCCAACGGTTATCGCTTCTCTCCCTACTTTCACCGTTGGAGCCAGAGATGACTTGGCCGCGGCTGCTACTGAATGCGCGGTGTGTCTAAGCGTTTTGGAGGAGCAAGACAAGGCGAGAGAGTTGCCAAATTGCAAACACGTCTTCCATGTCGACTGTGTTGATACATGGCTCACCACTTGCTCTACTTGTCCTATTTGTCGGACTGAAGTTCAGCCAAGGCCAAGACTTGCGCCTGAGCCAAGAGAAGGACCAGTCGGCGACGGTGCTGCACCACCAACTGCGCCTTCGTTGTTGTTGGAGGAAGTCAGGCTGAATTTGACAGCGGAAGTGGCAGCATCATCATCGAATAACAAAACAGTTGGGTCATCGGTTTCAAGGTTAGATTCGTTTAAGAGAATCTTGACAAGGGAAAAATCTTCGAACAGGATTAATCACTCTTGTGTTGATCAAGATCATGTAGCGGATCTTGAAAGACATTGAGTGGACATAGTGATACATAAAATGCATATAAATCAAACATACGTTAATAATATTTAATTTATACTTTACGGTATCCTTCTTTGTTTTAGAACTTAATCTCTGTATTTTTTTGATAGTTTTGTATGATGTGAACACTATTTATATGTTAGTCAAAAGATACATATTGATACAAAGCTAATATGATGCCTTTCTAGTTAACCCTTCACAGTGTACGACAGTAAAGAGCTAAATATCAGATGCAGAACCATTTTAGTTACATAAAATTGAGGATTGATGATTGAGGAAAGGGAGAGATTACAAAAATGGGTTACCTTCAATCACCAAGCAGTAGCTAAAGATGATGGCTTATCCGTGTCATCATCACAACGTGGCCTAAAATGACTAAGCGTAAAGTCCAACTGTTACAAATCCGCTTTCCTCGGCTCAAGTCTGAGTATTCTGGTGCAGTTGTTCCCTGCGTTGAAGTGCCATCCACGACACTGCCATTGCTTACTCTCTTACTGCACCACTAAAATTCAAGAGCATGAGTGTGTTTTCGTCCTTGAAGAGTTAAAAAGTATTGTGGTTACAGAAAAGCAACACTCAGATGATTGGCGTTAATGGTATTGCAAGTTCTTATTCTATGTTCCACAGAAACTGCCAGTACACAGATATGAGCATTCTCTAGCCAAGATCGAAATCAATTCTTCAGGGCAATGAAGTAACTTCATTCTTCTGAACCAGAAACTAATGAACAATTCTACTCAAGATTTCACTCAAAACCCATCAAACTAGGAATCATTTTCTAATCATAAGCCTTCGAAAGAACCTCAAATCGATCGAAAATTTGCTCCAAACACCCTGAAACTAACACATGAATGATCCTAATGGACAATACAAATGTTCATTACCTTGAAGGAAATTTGCATGTTCCCTGACCTGAAAAAACAAAGATGAGAAATTGAATACAAAAGCATCAAGCTTTACAACATTCCAATTTGCAATCTCATTCATTCATAATCGAATTGCAATTTCCATAACTAGAGACACTATATTCTCTGAGATTCCATAATGATCTTACTAGGATTCAGAGAAGTAAGAGCTGCGTTGTTACTGAAGTTGCAAGCTTCATCTGCAAGACCATTCTTCAAGTAATAATTGTTGAAAACAAACGAAGCCATTTTCAACATATCAGTCGGATCGTAACAAGGTCCGCCTTGTTGGATCCCGGCGCAATCGGCGCCTCCGGGACCACAAGCCCAGTCAATAGCCGTTTGGAGTTCCGAATCCTCGGCGTTATTCTTCGCAACGCACCAGAGCTCCGTATCTAAGACCTGTCCGCCGAACTGCGCAGTAGCCACCGTGATGAGGAGAGAGAGATGCATTACGAGGAAACAGTGAAACTGAGAAGGAGAATTCCTAATCATTTTTTCCGAGATATAGATCGATTCTGTAATCGGAGATTTCGAAGTATCGCGAAGAGGAGGAAGAAGAGAGTGAATCTGAAAGAGTCGAAACATTTTTGGAGTTTTTCGTGATAAATGTAAAGATGCGGGTAAATAATGTAATTTGTTTTACTCTTAACGGTTAATTTTCCGGTTAAAATTGATTTGGGCCGTATTAAAATCATCTGGCCCATATTCTTAATTCTTAAACACGAGCTTAAATCTGTCATTAACTCCTAGTTTACTACGTGGCAGTTTTTCATTCGTTAATCTATTCTCGGAAATGGTAAATCAGTAAAAAAGACTCTTTTAGGTTCTTCACCTTGTCAATTTCTTAAAAAAAAGTGACCGGAGAAGAAAAAAAAAAAAAACCAGCCGCCATGGATTCTCCGTCGAATCCTATTGACCTTCGAGATCAAGTTTCAGAGACCATTTCGCGGAGTCTTAGCTCGATCCAGGAATCGAACGTTGAGGCACATATTGTTGCCGGAGAAATTCGAGTTGCAGAACCAGTGTCGGAGGATATGGCGAAATCGGAGGAGGTTGAGGAAGCCGATGATCCAGTTTCGATCGAGGAAGACGATGCTGATACTATGGATCCGGCGGATTCTCAAGCCATGAGCTACTGTCACGGTGGTGGGCCGAAGCGGAAGAAAGGGAACAATAAGAAACGTAAGCAGCTAGAGGAGAAATCGAAGGAGAAGCTTAAGGTACTCATAGAAACCTTAAAGCCTGTACCTTTCAAGCCAATTAAAACCCTAGATTTATCTCGTTATGAGAATCTATTGAAGACTCTAGGTTTGTGGGATTTTGTGCATTTGGAATTCGATCAGAGTATTAGTTACGATCTTGTGGCTCAGCTTATCGCGTCGTATAGTCATGAGGGTAGGTGTAGCTATGTAAACGGGTCTAGGATCAAACTCAGTCGTGCGGATTTGGCTCGAGCTTTGAAGTTGCCTAGTAAGAAAGAGCGTGTAGTGATTCTAGATGAGGATAAGGAACTTTTGGAATCAGATGAATCGATCAAATTCATCGAAGATATTGTTTCGGATTGGATTCTACTGCATTGTGATGATGCGTGGATGATGCCGGATGAAGTGGTGGAATGGAGGAAGGGTTTAAAGGAAAAGCAAATGGATAAGCTTGACTGGGCTGGATTGTTCTGGATCATGGTTGAGAAAGAGCTCAAAGCGGAGCCTCCACTCGGGGATTGTTACTATGCATCGCATATGCAGATGGTGATAAGATCACAGAAAAAGGACTTGCTTAGTGAGGAGGCTGAAGTGGGGGGTAATGATGTGAAGGTGGAGGATTCTCCGAACAAATCTCCGGAAGAAGATACGCCGAGGGAACAGTTGAGAGTGGAGGATGTTGAGGTTGAGGAAGTGGGTTTGAAGGTAAATGATGATATTGCTGCTGTGAATCAAAGAATGGATGATGAAGCCGGTGGCTCAAAGGAAGAAAAGTATGTGGAGGAATGTATGACTGAACTGAATCTTGGGCAAGAGTCTGTGTCCGAAGTGGCTGCTGTGGAAGAGCGTCATCATGAGGAAAAACCAACCGATCTTGAGGAAAACAAGGAAGAAGAGGATGAAAAATGGCTTTGGAACGAAGACAGTCACGCCTGTTCACATTTTCTTCGGGGGTATGATGGTGGTGATGCTACTGCAGGAGATGAACGGACCAAAACAGAAGGACACAGAGAAGTGGGAGAAAATGAAGCACTTGAAGATGTTTCTGAAGAGGAAATTGAGAAAGATGGAGAAAAGCAGGAAGGAGGGTTTTCGTTGTTTCCAAATGAGGAAACACTACATGGCGTTGACCAGGAAAATATGATGTTGGATGATGATACATCTCCATTAGGTTATAACTCTGAGCTACAAATTCATGAAAATTCTACTGGTGATTTCCTGGCATCTAGAGCTGGCATGCATATGGTTCCAACTAGTTCTGTTTTTGGGAATGGTAACAAGAGAGAGATTGATCACGAGAATGATATTTCGTACCATTTTGACAATCCTGCCAGTAAGAGGTTGAGAACTGATGTTGGACCATCTTATGATGACAAGCCAGTTCCTTTTGAGGTGTGCATGGAGCAGATTAAGCAGTTGGTGGATAAGGCTAAGTTATCATATGTCGAGAAAGACCGAGCTTGTAGAGAATCTAATATGAGCCAACAAATAATGCTTAATGAACTGCAAAGGAGAGAAGATATAATTCAGCAATTGCACAAGGACACTTATGAAGAGCAACAGAGGAAGGACTTAGAGATCTATAAGCTTGAGAATGAACTTCGTATGATGACAAGTGTATTAACCGGGTACCGGAAAGCGTTGAAAGATACGCAGAAGGAACGCAGAAAGCACTTTAAACGTTGCCCTTTGCGTGATCAATCGCTTTACAAGGATGTTAAAGGTTCTGGAGGTTTAGTATTGAGCACTGGTGAAATCGAAAAGCTAAGACTGAAGCAAGAAGAAGAAGAGGGGTTAAGACGAGCTCTAATAGAGAGACAAGTAGAAGAATTTGAAAGTCGCTGGATTAAAGACTTTGAAGTAAACCTTAACAGAAAAGTGGAGTTGCTTGAGGAGAAGCTAACTGGGTTTCAAAATAAGGTGAAGCTCTTGCAAGAGACGGTCTCAAGACGCAAGGTTCTGGATACGCCAGAAAGATTTAATGCAACAGCAGAAACTTGAGAAGGTAGTTTGCACTTTATACTCAAACCTTTCAACATAACTTTGTTTCCTTATTAAGATTCTAGCCATCAAATACTTGCTAGGTGGCTGGCGACCGCAGCGGTTGCGGTGGAGAAAGGAGAGAGCTTTTTGGAAGAGAAAATCAGGCCAATGTGATGTCATGTTTGGGAGTTTAGGAGAGAGTTGTGCCATTGAAGAGAATTATGTATAAACCTCTAATGGCAAGAGAAGAAATTAAAATGATCAATCTTGATCTCTAAAAGAAAAAGAATCTAAATTTACAAGATTAATGGAAAGAGAAAAAACCTTAATTACAAGAGAAACTAACGTGATTCCAGATGAGAAACAAAGGAAAGAAACGAAATTTGAGACAAAATGGAATAAGACCATCAAACATATAAACATGGTATAGTAGTTATGGTCCATTGAAAAGTTTTGTTTTGTGTAAACCTTTTTGTAGAAGCTAAAATTGGAAGAAAAAGAGAGAGAAATAGAGATGTGAAATATGAAAATAAAAGGAAGAGAACAAATATCGATCATGTGTGCGAGCGAGTCATGTGACTTGTTTGGTGTAAGACACTTCCATTTTTTTTTTTTTTGGTCCTTTTCAACCTGTTTCTATTTGAATCATT